CCATCTTTCACCTTTGCCCAACTTCTACTTATAAAGTTCTACCACTTTCTACCTAATACCTGTAAAGGGGCTATTATATATAGAGATGAGCGGCTAGGTGGGACATTTCCCAGAAACGAGATTCTAGTAACACTGGCTTAAATGGGAGGTTTCCAAGAAATGTTCCAGCAAGCCGATGAAGGAGTGTCCCAGCTATGAGGAACAACTTGAAAAGTTTTCGAAAATGTTTCATTTGCAGCTATGTTCGACGTAAAGATCAATGAATCAGACGAAAGTTCTGCTTATGACGGATTGCGGGTGATTTTCAATAAGGTGATCGCTGCAACTGTGAGATCTTGAAGGGTGGAAACAGAAGCCGATTTAATTGAAGAAATATGGAAAAAGGGCTCTCTCCCTCTCTCTCTCTATATATTGCTGTTTCTGTAGTATAACTGTATAAGTCGCTTTCAAAATGTTTAGATATTCATTAAATTTATAATCGAGGAAATTGCAGATTAGACAGTATGATGTGCTATTTCCAATGATTTGCTTACAAATCATTCATTGTGGAAAGTTCACCAAATTTGTCGTATTTCATGCTGATCGTGTGAAAAGAAATGTTGTTATATAACAGCATATTTTTTTTAATTAAATTTAAGGTGAATAATTTTTTAAAAATCTGTTTGTATATGCACGACTTTACTTCTCTGCTAATTACTTTTACTACTTTAAAATTGAATCTCTATGCCTGCGGGCACCATTGCTATGCAATCACAATAAAAATGTTTTAGTTTTCAATAAAATTCTATGTGACAGTTTTCTCACTTTTAATGTGCATGTTTTAACTCTACCTAACTATAAGTTCATCTTGGAAAAGTAAATGGTGCCATAACCACTGACTATGTATATTTATTAAAGCATAACCACCGATTATGTATATTTATTAAAACACAGATTATGTAATAATGAGGATACACAATAAATTTGTATGCTATTACCTTCATGTTATTAATAAATTGCTTTTTAGATTATAAACACATTAAGAACTATATTTTTATAATCAATGCTACATATTGGAAATTTATGGATTTATTATTATGAATGATGAAAAAAAACATTTGTACATACATACATTAATATAAATCTTATTCATTACTGTAATACTAATAAACATACATCAACAACTTCTAAACCAGGGGTTCTCAACTCTATGCCTGTGGGCACCATTGCTTAACATATGCCCGCTGCTATGCGATAACAATAAAAATGTTTTAGTTTTCAATAAAATTCTAAGTGACAGTTTTCTCATTTTTAATGTGCATGTATTAACTTTACCTAACTATAAATTCATCTTGGAAAAGTAAATGGTGCCATAACCACCGAGTATGATATTTATTAAAACACAGATTATGTAATCATGAGGATACACAATAAATTTGTATGCTTATTAGCTTCATGTTATTAATGAATTGCTTTTAAGATTATAAACACATTAAAAACTATATTTTTATAATAAATGCTACATATTGAAACATTGGAAATTTATGGATTTATAATTATGAATGATGAAAAAAACATTTGTATATACATATATTAATATAAATCTTATTCATAACTTTAATACTAATAAACATACATCAACAACTTCTAAACCAGGGATTCTCAACTCTATGCCTGCAGGCATCATTGCTTAACATATGCCCGCTGCTACGCGATCACAATAAAAATGCTTTAGTTTTCAATAAAATTCTATGTGACAGTTTTCTCATTTTTAATGTGCATGTGTTAACTCTACCTAACTATAAATTCATCTTGGAAAAGTAAATGGTGCCTGCCGTCCGACAGATATTCTAGAATACGGTCTTAGGAACAAAAAGGTTGGGGACCCGTTTTTTAAACCATCACAACTCTCTCTCTATGTGCATGTAAACATATTACTTATTAGATATGTGTGTATGAATACAAAAATGAACATTGCTAAAAATTTTATTTGAAGTTACTTCTAATTCATATTACGATCATGTAATTGGCAGTAACTGTAGTCAGCAGTTCTTTGCACATTATCATGGATATGGAATACACAGTTGCAAAATAATTGAAGTGCATTTCGTGCATTAGGCTAGTCATTAAAATTCACCCATTTACACACAACCTTTGCATTTGTAATTTACTTGAGAATTTAAAGAAAAAAACTGAGCAAGTAGCCTTTATGAAATATGTAACATTTTGGGGATAAAATAAATATTTTTCACTCATCACAGAGCATATATCAGTAAATGACATTATACTGTGTACATAAAAGTTATCATATAAGTATACAAATATATTGTTTACAATAAAATCAGAAAGAATTACAAATCACCAAATGTATGATGTAAAACTATTTACAAAAATATATACAACAGATCATTACATCATCAGGGACCTGGATTCCAGGTATTAGAAAATCACCATCTTCTGTTTCTGTTGTTTTTCATAAAGTTTAGCACTAACTATATGTTGAAAGAGTTAGCAAATAAGCTTTATGAGAATGCATGATGGACTCTTATATATTTTTAATCCTTGGAGTTAATATCTCTAGTCAAAGCCAAAATTTTTTAATGTATTATTTCATTTCATCCTTGCAATTCCACTCGCACATTGCTGTCAAAGTGATAAAATGCACCCAAAGAAGTAGAGCTATTACTTTCACATTCCTAATGCTACGAGTATTTCTCTTAATTCATAGAGTAAAATTTCCATATTCATATTTATACAGTTAAGTAAAGTTTGCAGGTATTTTTTACACTTCAGGCTTGCTATTGAGGTATCTATGAGTAGCTATGATTTTATTTAGGATTGTGATGGTGCCCCAAAATGTTGTCATTGCAACAGACAAAATTAGCTCTTTTTTTTTTTTTTTACAATGAGTTTTAAGGGTAAGTCCTGCTACCTATATATGTTTGGACCTCGCTTTCTTTTCCTTTTTAAGAAATTCTATTTAAGTTTGATGCTATTATTTTGGCCTAAGGTTTTAATTAAGAGGAGCATCACTATGCATATTACTTTACATGAAAACTAAGGCCTTCTGACATGTTGTGGATGAGAAAGGATTTTTGCATAGGACAGAAAATACTACAAATGATTTTGCTTTAACAGACGACCAAATCTTTTCACTTAGCGTAATTTGTAGAACATATTAAAAATATGAATATGAAATGTTAAACAATTATTTCTTTTCTTTATAGCTTAATTACTCTATTTTTTTAATGGATACATATTTTGCTGTAAACGTGTAAAACTTATGTGATATGGCACAAAAATTTAATTCTGAAGCTTCAGAAAGGATTGATAAGCAAAGAGAACCTTTACGATAAGTGACTAGTCTTATCATATTGAAATCGTGAAATTTAAAGCCATTGTTATTTACTTCATTATTTGATTCACAGATAAATTTTCACTACCTGTTAGCATTTCCATTAATTTTTGCCACAGTAAGGAAAAAATTCCTTATCCCAACAAAAGGACACCACATTTTAACCTCTACTTTTTTCCTTATGTATCTATGATGATATTTAACCCTCTGCATACGGCACCCGCGAATTCCATGGGCTACAAAATCCGTCTTGTAATACAGATCGCGTGAAAATAGCATGTGTTAAGTTTATCTCTGTTATTTTCAATGCAGATCCTGCTTTTTCTCAGTATAGGCTAAGAATATTGCAATATTCACTATCTTATATTTCGTTTTGCACCCAGATTGCACTATAGGTTTATAGCATTGTAAGGGAGTACTATTGTTTACATTTTTTTAATTTTTATTCCATGCACGGTAAAATCAAGTGAGGCGTATTGTATTTTTTCCTAAAACTAAAATACTATTCTGCATTATTCTAATTCCACTTATAAAGATGTAAATAGTAATATATGAAGATAGAAAATACTACCAAAAAAAAAAGGGCCCCCGTATTTCAGAACCATTGTTTGTATTTTTATATTTTTATTCATGTGTGCTAAAATCGTGTGAGCAATACTGTATGCTTTTTAAATTTAAAAAACACAATTAAAATTTCTGCATTACTCTAATTTAGTTTATAAAGATGTGAACAGTAATATATAAAAATAAATAAATAAATAACACCCCCCACACATTTCAGAACCAGAATGTGTCCAAATCGCGTCATACGTGGAGGGTTAACACTGTTTATCATGGAACAAAAATATTCCCTCAAAAACAAAGAAACATAAAAAGAAATAACTTCTCCCTAAGGTAGGAGGTCTAAACAACAGCACTTTAGAAGGGAGAAGCAGACTTTTATTTATGTTCAACAAAATATGACTATGTAACAGTTCTCTGAAAAAAGGGTAAAAACAATGTTGTAAATGTTTGAAAATATTTAAATATTTTTGTTTTTCCTATGTTGTTATAAGGTTGTTTTGCACCTTATAAACAAATTCTGTTTAAATACAGGTCTTTAAACAGAATTTGTTTAGAAAAGCAAACAAATTCTGTTTAAATACATGTCTTTATGAGCAGATTCAAAGAGATGTGCAATTGAACTTTCCATATAATTATGCTTACTCTAATTTATATTCTAATACCAGTGAATATTATGAGACTACCCTCACTACTGAGTGTTCAAGTTTTCCCCATACCATTTAAAAATTCCTAAGTTTACTGATAACAAAGGGATAATAAAAAACAATAAACCTTTTTTCTCCCCAATAAAAAGGCCTAACGTTCTTTTGAATAATACCGGTCTTGAGCAAAAAACTAATCAGTCACCCAGAAATTTTTATTCTAGGTAAGTTGATTCTCCATTTTCACAGTATAAGTCCCCAGTGGTTTTGTTTCAAGCCATATGGTTTTAAAAATTTCACATTTCTCTAAAATTTTAATTTATTATAAGAATAACAAGCACAGAAAATACCATTAAAAGAAATGAGATACAGCCAGAAGAGAATAACTAAGAAATTTTTACACATTATGGCTGAAATTAAGGGCATGCATCACATGTAACGTAAATAAAAGGAACAAATACCAATTTTGATAAGTCTAGATCATTAGTATCCAAAAAATTATCAAAATGCTTGTCACCAAGAGATGCCAGAATACGTTTTCGATGTCCTAACTTTGGTATTTTAAGAACCTGAAATAAAGAGGAAAGAATTTATATAGGTTTGGATTTTTATAATTAAAAAAAATTTTTTTTTCCTTTTTATCTTTAGAAATTACTTAGTCCAACAAAAGCATGCACATACTTGCCAACCTGCAACACTTAAAAACCAGGATATATATATATATATTTTTTAAAAGAAATCAAAAGAATTTTCTCACCACAAAAAAAGATTTTTTAAACAATAAAAGTATGTAGAAAGGAAATATATTTTTTAATAATGAATTAGTAATAATTAAATAGCAACTAATTAATATACGAAAGTTCAGTTACTATATCTTAAATGCAAATAATGCAGAAAAATACATGTGGCGGGAAAAAGTTTTATTGCTTGTATCTTCTAATAACAAAAAATATTCTATTCAGTTTCCCTAATCATTAAATAATACTTTAACCACATCACTAATAAATTGCAAAACATGAATTGATGTAATTCTGCAGTATAGAATTGTGTTAAGAACATCGAATGATGGCAAAATCAAGCGTACAAAAAAGCCAGAAAATTTATTAATGTATGAAAAAAAAAAAACATAAATATTCATTCTTTACAAGATAAACTTACAATAATAGGAAAATGTGTTTCTTGTCAAGTGATTTTTTTATTTTTTATTTTTGAAGAGCTTTATGCTAATATTTTGTAGTATTAATTTGAGAATTGCTAATTAAATTGTTTGCAGGTGCAGAAATTACTTCATTTTTCTCACACCTATTTTTAACAGTGGAAGTAATAACTACATTTCCATTTACTAAGGTATTTTAATATTTAATATTTTCAACATAGCCTTTTATCTTAACTCTAGAAGCATTTACTTCTTCCTTAAACAATACAAAAGTGTGGATTCCACTGGTTGAGGATTCTAGATAAACATTTCTCTAAAAATAACCAGCATAAACATACATATTTCATATTTTTTATTTCAGTATTATGCAGCTGTTGGAATTATTTCAGTTTTTCCTTCCTTTTAGCAATCTTTCCAAGATAATAAATATCAACTATGTGTTTACCCATGCTTACTGGCAAAGAAGCTGACCTTTTTTCACTGTTAAATTTAAGGGGTGACAAGTGAATTTCATAATTTGCACATATGAATTTTTTCAAGATGCATGCAACATCAATCTTCAGGCCTACAATACCTGGTGCATTCTCGGCACTATGTGCTGAACAATTTTCTTGAAGAATTGTACTTTTCTGAAGTTTTAATAATTAGCTGTGCTATATATTGAAGCCTGTTGTATCTCGTTCAAAAGTGAGAACAGAAAGTAACTACGCTTAATTTCAGACGACTCTGGATTAAAAAAGAAAGAAAGAAAGAAAAAACGAAACAACTGGATACAGTTTTGCATTGGTATTACTGCTTCCATTTGTAGAAAGGCAGAATGAAACTGTTTTAATGCAATCAGTAATTGGAGATTTACTTTTCATGCCAATTTCGTAAACCCATTTCTTCTAACACAGCTGCTTTTGTCCTTGCACTTGAGTGTTTCTTAGCGATTTTATTGCTGGAAACGTAAAAAGCTGCAGCATGATTCGATGCATTCAGCAGCCGGTTGTGTTCCAGTTTAAAGGCACATAACAGGCATTCTGCAATAATTAAATTTTGGTCCTTTGTTTCCACAAAAAAATTTCTTTTCCAATAAAACTCACATTGTCCTTCTGTATGCATATGCTTAAGAACATCAGCTCTTCTGCTATGCGAAACTGAAAAATCACAATGACAAATGATACACATTGCATTACAATTATTTCTTGATCAAATATTAGAAAATGTCATCTGTGTACTGTTTTTGAAAAGTACATGAGAATTTTGCCTTTTTCACAGACATACTAAGACGAAAGACTGCAGTTTCTTAAACTGTTGCTGGGAAGCGCGTGAAACTTGTGCTGCCTTTATAGGGGCAAGACGAACGAAACAGCTTTGATTTTGTTTTGTGCTCACTGGCAAATATATAACTGATGACCCACAGCGGCAATTCATTTTCATTGTGGAACTGGAACACAACGTTTTCAGACTCTCACACACAAAGTAAGAACGTGCCACATCTCAGGGATAAACAACTTCGGGTTTCTTTTATATGCATCTACAGAAAAACACACGCCTTCAAATGGGAAAAAAAAAAAAAAAAACACACTTTTTTGGGTGCAAATAACAAAGTATTAAGCCAAGCTGCGAGAAAATTTAAGAATAAGAGAAAGTCAGACAGAATATGTTGAAAATCAGGTTGGCAGGAGTACGGTTAGAAATTGGGAGTCTCCCTAAATCCGGGAAGGGGGGGGGTAAAACTGCATGCATCATTCTGATTGTGCAAGGTATCTATTATTTAAAAGCTGAAATCATGCATTGAAAAAAATTACAGAATATTTTATTATTGCTACATTGCTTTTACACCAGTGTGTAAAAATTAAGGATGGAAAAGGTTTTCGTATGCAGTGTTGTGCATCAGTGTTTCAAAGAGGTACAAAGATATTATAACATTACCAAGACTTACGACTGAAGAAAACATGAACAAAATAACCAAAAAATGAACTCAGTCTGCTGACAGCTTGCGACATGCTATCAGGCATCTCCCAAGGATGTTCCACACATTTGTATTTATATCTAGGAATTGCATAAGCCAATCCATGTAGAGAGTTTTTTCAATTTCCAACATTTCAACGAAAGCTATCATTTAAAGAAATGTGCACTGTGCAATAACTTACACCGAGATGCTATGCAAATATTGCTTTTGCACTTTACACCCTTTTCATGTGCCCAAGTATGTCATGCTGCACCTAATACACCTTTTAACATGTCACACCCTAAGCGACCTCCTGATTGGTCTTTCAATTAGCTCTGCATGTTTGTTCCACTATTCTGTTAATTTCTCCACTTCATCCATATTATTATTATTTTTTGGCACATTAGAATATTTCTTGCCCATCTGAAATAATAAAAGAAACAGTTTGTGTAAGTTCTATAAAAATAAAAAGTGAGACTTTCTAACAGTAGGGGCCCACCAGCGGCCGAGCGGTAAAGTCGCTGAACACTGGTAGTTCGGGTCCGAGGTTCGAATCCCGCGAACGGGCTGGTTGCATGGGCGTTTTCGTGGTTTTCCCCATGTGTAACGTGTATACGAGCCAGTTTCCCTTAGAAAGTCCTCCACGAAAGGCATCCCTCCCCCTTAGGCAGATAGCCCTCGTGTGCTTTGCCATAATTAAATACACCACACTACACCACTTTCTAACAGTATACAGAATGAAGCATACCTTTGCACCTGCCAAAATGCTTTGAAATGTATCACACTCTTGAAAACTATTAAGTACACTTATTTTTTTCTGTTTTTGTTTGTTATTTTAATATTCCACAATCAACTATACTTTTGGCTTGCAAAAAGATATTAATCATAAAAAGAAGCATACTTCCTTCAAAATACTGAGACTACTAAAAAATTAAATGTTCTCCCCCCACCAATCTTTCAAAATTAAAACTGTACTGCAAAGGGTTAAAGGATTGAGGTTGGGCAAATATAGTGGTCATTCCATGCAAGTATTGCTTTCACTTTTGAAATTAATCACCTACCAGGTCAGCTCTATATGGATGTATTGACTGTACAATGCAGCAAGGTATTATTAAAAGAAAAAAAAAAAAAAAAAAAAAAAAGAGGTAAAATTCTAGTATACGGAAGCTTTTGCACGATTTTGAAAATGTCGCCAAGACCAAAATTACCCATTTACTGCTCATCACAATGTCACCAAATCCCGTGTGTACAGTACATGGAGGTTACTCTAACCAAAGAACATCTATGTAAAGAAGAAAAGGTTCCATAGACATAATGCTTTTATGTCGCTAGAAAGTGAAGAAGAAATTTGCCAAGGGATTTGGCGAGGAACCTGGTGGCCAGAATTTCCCCTCTCGCGCTGTGTCAGGAAATTGAGAAACGCGTGTTAGAAAGAACGCTCTTTGACAAAAAGAAAAACTACGAAATCCTTTTTAAATTATTGCGAAAAATCCAAGAAGAACGTTTTATCAAGGACGTTTCTTCTTGGATTTTTCGCAATAATTTAAAAACGTATTTTCGTAGTTTTTTCCCCCCCTGAAAATAACTAATCCAGAATTATTTACTTCGCCAAAAATATTTTCTTCTTCTCCTTTAGAGTTTTAACCACTTGCGCTAGACTAACTTCACAGTTGTGGTGCGGCGCTACAATATAACAAGCCTCTCATTTACGCCGCTCCGCATCTGAGAGTGCAATCAGAGCTGTGTACTCAAGAAATACAATCCTTTGTTAGGCGACGTGCATCACGTTATTTTATTTTGCGATAAAGTATCGACGTGCACTCGCTCGGTTTGAACAAAGCAGCTTGGCGTGCGTTGCCGCTTTTAGCGCAAGTGGTTAAAAATTTTAAACGATTTCATGTATGAACTTTGATAACGTGACCTTCGAACTTCGACACGGGTTTCAGTTTGCACAGATATATAGACATGCAAGCTGTTTTCCCTCTAGAGGAAAGGACCACACACGTCTGTGGAGAGAGTTTTCCTCTTACAATACATATTCTTTGGATTATAACTCCATGGTACCGTATACTAGGATTAAACCCATTTTGTTTTATACGAGAACGGGTCATTCTTTAGTTCATGCACTGCACATGCGATCTCGAGAATATTGGAAACCAAAAGTTGCGGGAAAGTTGCTTTGCCTTTCAAAAGGCAATCAAATTGGAGCTGCGAAATTGGCTCTATGCCAGCTACCGAATGACACTCACGTGATACATAATTCGCCAAAAGTTACCTCTTCCGACGTCGGCGCAAAATCGCTTTTTTTGGCGGGATCGTTGTATGACTTCCCTGACTTTTCCAGATTTGACAAAATACTTAAATTCCTGAAATATTTTGGTCAATTTTGAATTCCGCTTTTCCGGTTCTCTGTTTTCAGGTAGTGTGTCCACCCTGTAGTAAGTAACTGTTAAAATTTTCAGAAACGTGTCTTATGA